GAATAATTCGTTCCCTTCGAAACGCCATTTTCGAAACCGTTCAACACGCTCGGATATCCATTCGATTAATGAAACTGGTTTTCAACTGATTCGAATTGATCCCCGCTATAGAGACCGTTTCACGTGAAATCGTGCAATATTTGTCAACGTCCGTGGATTAAAATGTCTTTTAAATTTATGAAGGAGGAGGAGGGGGGAGACTTTTGATAATGGGCTTCTTTGAAATTAATTATTCGAGGAAATTAAAATTTCGTCGAATCTTTCGATCTTCGATTCTTATTCAGGTTTTGAAGATAATTAAGTAGGGAAGAAAAGGATTGAAAACGATTGAGGAAAATTGGTGAATGATTTAATAGAATTCGTGACGGATTAAGAGATTCATAAATTTAAATAAAATTGTGAAAGAATTTGGAGAGAGTGATTGAAATTTTTCATTTGTGGAATATAAATGATGAATAATATGCAAAAGTATGTAAAATATTCAAAGTAACAATTGCTGAACATTTAAAGATTAACCTAACCTAACTTAACCTAAAATAACCAAAGTAAATATTTTATTTCAATTTATAAGTTTGATTGGGGAAAAAACTATAATCAAGATAAACATTTTGACTTTAGTTAAGATTATTAGGTTAGTCCTTTTTTTAATTGAATCTACTTACAAAAAAAATTTATTAAAAATTGATATTACTAACATGAAAAGTATAAAAAAAAAATTCATTCCAAAGCAAATCTTCTTAACTTCTTATATATTTTATAACCTTGCAACGAACAAGGATCATAAAAGCGATGTCAGGGTCTCGTTTTACTGGTTTTTGAATATGGTTCGCTTGTTCTTACATAATTTAATGCAATTCTCGCAGCGACCAAGGTGAAATTATTATTATCCTATTAGCGGGATCATTGCTGAAACCAGAACGGAGGAATAATTACCTGATTGAGGATTGCATATTTTTTTTATAGCGAAGATTCGAAATATTATATTAATTAATCTGAAGCATGCATGAAACGTATCGAGTTAACTAGAATTGATATGATAAACAATATATGCATGTTGTTTTATTTCTTTCTAAAAGCAAATAGATATGTATCTGTATATGCATATTTCAGTACACAATGTATCGCTTAATCGAAAATTTCATTAGATAAACGAAAGTGAAAGTAACAATGTATTTGTATGCATGCAATAGTGTTCAAATATTAATTTAATTTCCTTTTTATATTTCAATAGAATAATGATTATACATATTGATTGAAGAGAATTATAATGATACACAAAAATTGAAATATTTGGTTGAAAACAAAATCTTGAAAAACGTAAAAAAATATTCTACCATCTATAAACAAATTTTGATCAACTCGTAAGCAACAAAAATAATAAACTATCATTGATAAAAAAATTTTAAATATATCATATCACTTAATTCATGTTCAAAATTGCTATATATCATATAATAATAAACAATCATACGTGTTATAAGAATCGCATTATGTCCTTAATAACTTAACCTATAAAGTTAACGAAATACATGAACTCTCACACGCACTCTTTCACACGAAATATAAAAAAGAAAAAAAAAAGGGGGAAGAAAGGTCAAAAGCAATATTCCTTTCAAGATTCTTTCACATCACTGTTTTTTTTCTTTTTCTTTAAATTAAGTTTAACACTGCTCAGTTGCCCGAACATGTAATCACTCGAAGCGATACGGTCTTATCGTCAAGTTTCAACCTTTTTCTACGATAGGTTGGCGCTCGAATCGCCAGCGGTTCTCCGCGATTATGGCGGCGTCCGCGCGTAACCGCGATAAAACGTTATTGCCCTCGCGGCTGTCCGGATAGGAACGGAAAAGTGAAATCGCGGTCACAGGTAGGGTCATGGAGTAACGCTCCACGAAATCGATTATCGGGTAAATTACCATAATATCGTTGCCGCTGAATCGCCGCTCATTAGGACAAAGGTAAATTCACGTTTGAGAAAAAGTTATTTTAACCGGAAGTGCCAGTGACCGTAGTTCCGAAAATTTATTAAAACATTATACCACGATTTTCATAGCATTCTCTAAATGAGAATTAACATTTACTTAGGGAATTTCATTTACGAAATATTTTTTTTTATTTTCCGAAATTTAATTTTTAAAAACTCGAATTTCGTAAGATTTTGTGGAATTTTTGAAACTTGAAAATACTTATCTTGTTTGTTTAAAAATGGACTTGTATTATTTTTTTTTATTATTTAATTCATACGTTGCAGATCGCATTGAAGCGAATTATATTTAATATTCTTGATTATTGAATTTTTCACAAAGTTCAAACAATGTGTTTTAATCATTCGATTTAATCCAGTTTATATAACTATAAGAATTGTTCCATTTCTCATCTAGAAATTCGATTTGTCTTGTTGGAAATCTCACGATACGAGGAAAGAAATTGTATCTCACTGTCTTTGATACTCTTAACGAAATTAACTCGTACATGGACCATTAATAAATGGGACGACAGATAATTGTTTCCAATCTCCTCAACTGGAAAATAAATTAGGAACAATTACGAAGAGTCTTTGTATCTTTTAACAATGGTCAAACGTAATACGTGTATGTACATATCAACTACGATACATTGTATATTATTATATGTACTATCTCTATTTCAATAAATTTTCCTTTTTTTCTTCGTTAATTTTCTAACGTAAATGCGGATATTATCAAGAAACATTGTATAATATAGGTTATATCCTTATTAAGTTTCTAAGTGGCAATGATAGTCTGAATTTTATTCTGTATTGTAGACATAATAAAATATGCGGAATTTATCGATACGATTATCGCCTATCTCCATGCATTCATAACCTCAATTATAAATAAATTATTATTACATTATCGGGATAGAAATCGGGTTATCATCAATGCCGTTCTGCTTATAGTGGAAAAAATTCATCATTAAAAATATATTTTTTGAATAATTAATTGCCTTGTGTAAATATAAAAATTGAATAAATTTCATATATGGATCATTGAGAAAATTCAAACAATTTAGGATTACAAAAATATAATTCTAATATATATATATATATATTGTCAAGAATATTTTATGTAAGATAAACTGTTCTTATTTATTTAATTATTTCTTGAGAATTTAAAACGAGATATTCTATAATAGAATATTTCAATACCAATTTTTCATATTTGCAAAAATGCATTTAGATCGTAAATTACTAAGATCTGCCAGATCAAAAAATCAAGTTCATCAAAAATTCAGAAATTTCAGAATTTTAAAAATCTAAAAACTTTGATTTTTAAATATCTTGATCAAATTCCAAATTTATTTAAAATTTTCATATTTGTTATTTTTGACTTCAATTAATTTGGAATTAATTTCAATCTAGTCGATTTTTTAATAAAATTTATTAATCCATATAAAATTTAATGTATTCTTCTTTTATGAATTCCAATTTCCAAATTTTGTGTATTTTAAATCAATTTATTCAATTTTTATACTTTTCAAATTATCTCACTTGATTGATGTATGTGAGCAAATGTTTCCAAACTATATATGTTTCTTCTTTAAACTTTTTAATCTTTATGAATTCCAAGTTATTCTACCTGTTCAATATCTAAGAGTCCCAAACCAATCTACTCGATTTCTATGTGTCCCAAGGTAATCTATTCTACTTCTACAAATCTCAAACCAATCCACTTCAATTTTGTATATCACAAGCCAATCCGATTTCTACAATCACAAAATTGATTTTTTGAACTTTGAAGTTTACATTTATATATAATGTTTTATATTTTTCCTACATTTTTTTAAAATCTTCATGAATTTTAATATCACATCAGATCTCAATCATTGCATTATATGAATAAACTAAGATTTATTAAATATCTTCTATAAAATGCTATATTGCATTAATGAATGATTATTTCGAAAGTGAATATTATCAAGTTTCATTAATCTAATAATGATTTCTATTTTTTTAGATTTCATCAATTTCAAATTTCCTATATATGTAATAACTTTCAATTTAAAATGTGAAATTTATTAATTATTTAAATAATAATTTTTAAATAATGTATATCAAATTTTACAATCCTATTATTCCTTCAAATCTATATACTTGTATGAGTGCAATATGACATAAGTATATCATGTCGTACGATTTAATAGTGGTCTTTGCCGAATTTCAATGATCCTAGAGAGTTTAATCTTTATTGCGTTCTCCAAGTACTTAATAATCTCTATCGGGAAACACGAGCTCGTGATGATTTGTATTCGACCACTACTGTCATATGGTCTACATCATACCTTACAAACTCGAGGTTGTCTTTATTGTATCCCTCGCGTTCCGTTTGTCCTGCATTGCGTATCACATGTTTATGATTACCAAGTTCTGGAAGTCTCTTGTCATATACGAGTCTATAGCTATGCTTTACAACTTACTAAAGACAAACATATATATATGACATAGAGTAGAGCAACTTCTTTACTCAAATATATGTATTACATTGAATTAATTAAAGTTTCATGTATCCAGCTCCTTTGTCTAAGAAATATTCACTGTTATATTCAAGTAGTACCTACTTATATACAACTTCAGAACTGTAAACTGCGCATGCTCAGACAAATAGAACGAAAAAAGATGGATGCGTTGATCAGTTGACTCTTGTCAATCTATGATTTCATATAATGTTTCTGATTAAGATGCTTTTATTTAATCTTTCTCATTGACCTATATTTAATTGTAATAGTGAAAATATCACTTTATAATCATTATCAATTAAAAATGTTTTTTTTATCTTTTATTTTTTTCGATTAATTTTCTTCAAATTCATTTTTATAAAATAGGTTAACCTAAAATATACTTCTAAAATAATAATTTATTAAAATTATAATCGATATTTTATATTTTTTAATATTATTTAAAATATAATTAAGAACATTGTTATAAACATTACTTACTAAATTTGATTTTCAATCATTTAATATATATACAATATGATTTTGTCAATCAGAACATTTGTATAATTGTTTACGTCGATTGAAATATCCTTGTGAGATTGACATGAAAAAATCACGTAATCTGCATTATATTAAGTTATTATTTCTCTGATAAAGTGGTTAAATGCGCAATTTCAATCGACAGTAGTCTATAGAAGTAATTATAGTTTCTATTTTCGTATCTGCCTTTCAACTAATAATTTTCTCTTAATATATACGTGTACCTATATATAATACTTTTTGAATTATACTTGATGTTCTTAGATTACATGATTGTAAGATTTTTTGAATATTTATTCTGTTTCTCATGTTTCTCAAAGGAAATATTCTATAGGTTTACAATGCAAGTCCGATTTTAGTTTCTGAATTCTTTTTCTTAGCGATTCAAGATATTAATATCGATAGATATTTCATTTTTGTACAAATGGCGCGTGTTTACTCGACGAATGAATATCAGAATATTAAAGTTTCTTTTATTGGTTTCCTGGGAAATAGCCCGTCAAATGAGAATGTAGGAAATAGTAAATAAAAATATATTTTAGAAAAAAAAAAAGATGTCTTATTATTATTTTGAAATTGCGACGATAACTATTTCAAAATGTTAAAAATTATAGAAATATTATTAATGTGTATGTGTGTTATAGTGATATTATATTTTCTATTATATTTTAAATTGATAGAAGATGGAATGGTAGAAATTAATATAATTTAATATTTAATTTTATAATCTTGTAATATTATTTATTATTAGAGTATTTTTCTCTTTAAATCATTAAAAGTTAAATATGGCTGTTGAAATTAATTCCAAATATACATTTATATGTATGTTAAAATTAATATTTTATTTCAGACAGATTGATAAATTTATTGGTTGGTTTATATTTGTTGTAATAGGGTCAAGTTCAATGTATACTCGTTGATCTGAAACAGAAATACGTACATATTTTGATCGATACAAGATGACGAAATATTTAATGCTTTAAGCTTGGCATCAACATCTTAAAAATATTATTATTATATATACTATAAATATTATTATAATTAGAAAAAAATATATTTGATTAAAATTTAGAATTTCACTATTTCATTCATTGAAATTTAATTAAAATTAGATTGATTAAAGATTGTAAAATTTTTACAAACAATATATAATATGTACTTATACAGATATAAATAATATATAATTATTTCCATTTCAACAAATCCAAGATTCAATCCGAAAAAAATTGTTGTAAAAAATCAAATCGGACTTTTTAGTTCTTTTTCAATTATCTTTGAAAGCTTCCAAGTTTTCTTAATTAATAAATTAAATTTAATCAGCAGATGATAAAAGTTTTCAATCTATTTTTCAAAAGAGTATTGCCAGATAACAATTTATAAATAATATTATATACAACACAAATATAGAATTTCATTAGATCAGATCAGAAATTCAAATTAGTTTTAACTTTTGATTTTAATTTAACGTTCTTTTTTTTATTAAAATAAGGACTTAATCTTAAAATTTAATAAAGAAAAAAAATGAATGTTCTCAAAAAAGATCTATTAATGTTTACGATATAATTCGTTATAAGTATAATTCGTTTAGAATTTTTTTTTATATCCAATCCTTGATTAATATTATTATAATTATGCAATGAAAATTTCAATTAATCATTTATATTCTTATCAATATAATAATATCTTTTAGGTGCAATTTCAGCTCACATGAAGAAAGTGAGGGAGCAGATGGCTGGCATTTTGTCACGTATTCCCGAGCAAGGTGTTGTGAATTGGAACAAGATTCCTGAAGGAGCGAACACTACCTCTACCACCAAGGTTAGTCACGCGTAAATATTACGCTCATTTCCGGTTGCCTCGTTCGGCCAATCAGTTCACTGACTCAAATTCGTTCCTTCGATTGAAATCTTTTGTCGTTACAATATATATGCATATATATATATATACATGTAGTATTATCTTTGTCAATGATACATTTGAATACAGGTATAATACTATAAGAAGTATTCTATTCATTAAGATGAAAATCTTATGAGATGATTTGTACTTTCAATATTCGATTTACGAAAAAAATCGTAAGAAATACAAATGTCTAAGAAAAATATTTTGGAAAATCGAAAATAGAAGAATTAGAAGAAAAGTTATAATTTTTATATTTAATTATTTTAATATTTATCTAATTTTACATTATTAAAAAATAATTTTACATTAACGATATACAACAAATATTATATATAAATTGTAAAATATTATAAATTAAAATTAATCAAGATTTAATCGAAATGTTAAATATAATTATAAATCAACAAAACGATTCTATAATCGTCTTCAAATATTTTCTTCGAAAAGATATTTCTACGTTATTAATTTTAAGCTCAAAGTAAAGACAATATACCACAATAATTCTGCCTTTTACCTCTTGTGAAAGATGAAATAATGAAACAAGATTCTCCAACTTTAGCATTGCTCAAATATAATTAATGGTACTACTTAAGAGTTGAAGTACAAGTAACATGTACATGTCCTCTTCTGAATACGTGCAATATACATTGTCGTAATTTATGTAATGAATTGCACAACAAAATCTGCACATCAATGCCGATCTGGTTGCTACATTTCCTGGGATGAACTAACTGCTGTGCCACTTGAACTGATGTGCAGCATTTAGTTTTTTAATGTGTCATTCCTTGAAAAGTGTGTTTCATCTTAAAATATAATTGTATTATATTCAAGTTAATATAGATACAAAATGAAAAAAATTGATTTAAAAACTGTTGTTCTGGAAATTTTTTTTCAATCTTTTAAAAAGAAGTTAAAAATATTTTCTTTACTAAGGATTTTTTGATTATCACTATTTATCTATTATTGTTATTATCTGTCATCGATATTACGTCGCTATTTATCACTGTTATTTTTAAATTAAATTAAATATTTTATGTTATATTATTATATTATCTTGTATATTATATTACAAACTAATATCATGTTTTTTTAGATCATCGATGGACACGTGGTAACCATTAATGAAACGACTTATACCGATGGTAGCGACGATTACAGCACACTGATCCGCGTTCGTGTAATCGACGTGAGACCCCAGAATGAAACAATCTTGACAACGGTAAGCAGCGAAGCGGACAGCGATGTAACCACTTTACCTACACTTATCGGAAAGAATGATACCAGCACCCAATCTTCAAGGAGTGTAGAAAGCGTCGAAGATTTCGACAACGAGATACCGAAGAATCAAGGAGATGTATTAACTGCTTAAAGCAGTCAAGAAATAATTTAAAAGGCAATGTCAGATTAATTGAATCCGAAAGATCTATTTTTCCTTAATTTTCTATGAGAATCTAATAATTTTTTTTTTTTGTATATTATATCATGTGTCTATATAAAAAATTTTGAAGTTATTACATTTATAGTTATAAAAATATTTCTATAATCCTTTTTCGAATAAAATTTATCCATCTCAAAATTTGTAAAAATAAATTTAATCTTCCTTAAACCTATATGCTGTATACTATCCTGATTATATCGTAATACAATATAAATAGATATAATATAAATATATGCTATAGTTGAATCAGATGGAAGTGATATAATAAATGAATGAAGAGAGAGAAAGAGAGGGAGAGAGAGGGAGAGAGAGAAAGAGAGAGAGAGAGAAATTAAAAAACATAAGATTTCCGTCCGCGAAGCTCTTTCGGATTCAAACTGACATTCGTGTACGAAAATTGTAAACTATCGTGAGACAAAAAAATGTTGATTATCGTAGAGAGTTAATAGAGATATAATATACATATATTTTATGTTCTTTTATAGTTTTATCTGTTATACATTTATAATGATTCGCCTATAATGAAGCCGATTATTCTATGTACCTCAAAGATTAATAGGTGAATTACAGATTTGCATACAATTATTTTATAAAATTATCATATTGTATAATAACAAGATTGTATTACAAATTATATTTTATCTATGATTATTCAATGGTAAAATTTTCAAAAGGGAGTGAGAATATCTTTTTTTAAATTTTTGTTTAAATAAAAAAAATATAGTTTGAAATGTTTTTATTTCTCTTAAATTTTTCCTTTCTTTCCTTTCTTTTATTTCAAAATCTCTTAGCAAAAATACGTATAGCATGTAACAGAAATTTTATATATGTATTCATTTGTAATGATCAATCATGTTTTACATTAATAAAAATTTTTTAAATATTTAAAAAAGCACATGTGTAAGTATCATAAATGATTAAAAATATGCAATTTAATATCTAATATTAATACAATTTAATGGTGTAGAATGATTCTTTATTTAAATTTTTGAGTGAGAAAAAATAAAAAAAAATTGATCTATTTTTTTATAAATTCTAGAACAATATAATTAAATAAATAATTTAAAACAATCAATTATTATATGAAAACAACTTTTTAATGAAAAAATATTTAACATAAAAAATGAAAATTGATTTATCTTGTAAAATTATAATAAAATTATATATTAAAATAAAAGATCTTATTTAATATTGTAATGAAATATAAATTCATATAAAAAATGTATAGAAAATTAAATGATCTTGCATTAATATATTATTATATTAAACTTCATTTATGTAAATAAATACTGTATATACATATACATAAAAAAAATAAATTTTTATAAATAATTTTGAAAATATTTTGTAATAACAATAAGTAATAAATTATTATTAAAATTTATTATTAATTTTAAAAATTATAAAAATTATATGAATATACATTAAAGTATTTCATAAAATATTTTTTTCATGCTTTAAGAATAAATAATTTTTAAATTTAAATTTCATCATGATGGCTAACATAATCCTAGTAATATTTCATTTCAGTCGAATGCACAACGTGATATCCGATGTTGTCAGAATATAGGAACAAAAATCACTATACAAATATAACTGTCATGTGGACGTGTCAGTTTCAATCTGTTGATACATTTGGTAAAAAATATTTTAGATAAATGAGTAATACATATTGCGTTTTTTAAAGTCGTAAAAGTGTAAATTCGTAAAAAAACTAAGAATGCAATGCCAGCACGTAGACGACACGTTGGCTTGGAGCATGGTGTAGACCATGGTTTCGTGATCACAACCTCAAACAGTCCTTGGCAGGGCAATATTATAAGTCAGCAGAGTTCTAATCATGAAAGTGAAGGGTATGATTTAACACAAAACTCAAAAAAGCAAGCGGACATCACACCATCAACAATGACGTCCCGCGATAGAACTAATGAATTCATTAATGCCATTCGAATGATGCAAAGCAGAACCGTGGCACGAGCGGTGATTTCGCAAAACCCTCGTCGAGCACGTCAATTGCAAAGTTATTCGAATTTCATGATGATAGCTAAGAGTATTGGAAAGAATATAGCGAGCACTTATACTAAATTAGAAAAACTTGCTCTGTGTAAGATTATTATGATCTAATATTATCATATCTAATCATATATATCTAATATTATTTCATTTTAATAAATTCTATCATTTACAAGTTTCTATTTCTATTAAATTCATTCATATATTTATACCTTTATTTCTAATAAATAATTTTTGATAAAAAAAGATTCATATGTGTGATATATATAAATTATAAGCATGTAAATAACATTTAATAAATTTAATTATATTTATATAAAAAAAGAATATACTTATCAGATCAATTATTTTAGTGGCAAAAAGAAAATCGATATTTAATGATAGACAAGTGGAAATAGAAGAATTAACAAATATCATAAAAACAGATTTAAAAAGTTTAAATCATCAAATAGGAAAGCTGCAGGAACTTAGTAAAAAACAACGAGAAGGATATAGTGCATCTCATAGTCATCACGTGGCTTCACATTCATCTTCAATTGTTATGACATTACAATCAAAATTGGCAAATATGTCAAATCATTTTAAAAGTGTTCTTGAAATGAGATCAGAGGTATGTAAGAAAAAAAAGTTAAAAAAGATTAAAATAATTATATATTATAATTCTTTTAAAATGCATAGAATATGAGAGAGGAACAAAGTAGAAGACAACAATTTACTCAAGGTTCTGTATCTACTCTGTTACCTCCAAGTGTTGCTGGAAAACAAGGTTCATTGTTATTGCAAGAAGAAACTTCTCCTTCTTCTGTAGTTATAAATTTGGATTCAGCAATGATGCAAGCAGTTCAGGATGATACTGTAAGTTCTATAGTAAATATAATAATATTATTTAATACTAATTATAATATTGCTTATTGTACAAATATTGTATAATATGTGCACTTTTAATATTTTTAATAAAATAATTTAAAAATTTACATACATAACACATATAGATTCAATAAACAAAAATTTTAATAAATTTATAAATATGAATGATTATTATACAGAAACGTTATTATATAGCATAAAGAAAAAAAGTTAAAAATTGTATTGCATATAAAAATTTCAATTTTAGAAAAGATAGACATAATACATTTTGTATAATAAGCCAAATATATATATATATATATATATATATTTTCAAAAATAAATAAATTTAAAAATAATTTATTAGGATGCATATGTTCAATCAAGAGCAGAAACAATGCAAAGTATAGAATCTACTATTGTTGAACTTGGTGGAATTTTTCAACAATTAGCACATATGGTTAAAGAACAAGAGGAAATGGTGGAAAGGTATAAATATTTTAATTATTTATAAAATTTTTAATTTTTATTAAATGTTATACATATATATATATATGTATGTATATTTTATCTTATGCTCAATAATTTTACTAAAAATTTTTCTTTTAATGTTTTCTATTTTTTTTTTAGATATATAGAAAATATTAATAAATATTTTGCATTTATACAAATACTGATAAAATTTTTATTAATTTTCAGGATAGATTCCAATATAGAAGATACAGAAATAAATGTGGAAGCAGCTCATGCAGAGATCTTAAAATATTTTCAATCTGTAACTAATAACAGGTGGTTAATGATAAAAATATTCGCGGTTCTTATATTTTTCTTTATATTTTTTGTAGTGTTTTTGGCATAAAATAATTATTACATTATTATTATGCATATTTCTTTATGCAAATTTATAGTTGACCATCCATATCCATTAATTGTGATATAAGATGATCGAAGAACAAGACGAATTTTTATAAAATTACGACTCATTAGTTATAGAATAATAATATAATCATTGCATTCCTTGACCTCTTTGTTGAAATGTGAATACTGTAAGTATTACTTATTAAAAGGTCCATCAATGTAGATAAAGGAGCTACATTGTTTGTAAAATGTAAAAAGAAAACTATGAATAATAAATGTATAATTTTCAATGTTTGGTAATTTTTGAAACATGTATATATAAACAATAAGTAGGTTTCATAAAAAATTATGAAACATAACATAATAATATAAATTACAATTTATTTCAATTTTTTAAAATTTTATATAACAATTATTTAATCTAAATTCATATTACAATTTATTTCCCGTTTGAATGATTTACAAAGACGATTTAATTTTTTCAATTTGATTAAAGAATTATATATAACTATATAAAGAAATTTTTTTACAATTTTGTCTATTTGTATATTTCAATACATCCTAAGAAATAATTAAACGTATATACAATTTGCTTCTTTTTTTTTTTAAATATCAGTGATGATTAACAAATATTTTTTTTATAATAAACTAATTATATGTTTATCACAACAAATATCATATCAAAATGCATGATTTTTTCTCATGAAGTAATAAATGCTCGATCTATTAGCATTAATATGTTCTGCATCACTGTTATTTGTTTATTGAATTTTTTTATTAATGAATATCTCAATTACTAATGACAAGTTGAACGCACATACGAATTATTTTATAACAAAATAGAAGTTTCAAACTTTGCTGTTATGGTGTGACTTGTCTAGTGATTCTCCTGAAGAATGTAAGGAACCTGAGAAAAGTATTAAATTGTGAATAACATATTGTAGTTATTATCATCTTATTTTTTGTTATTATTAATTACAAATATGAAGAAAAAAACGTTAAAAATTATAATTTTAGAAAATTATTATGTAAAAACAAATAAAAATTTTAAATAGGACGACCTTAATATTGTACGTATATAATAGAGAATATAAAAATATTAAATTCAAATCACAAATATTTTATACAAGTATATTTTATATAAAATATATTTTAATGATAATATTAATAAATATTAACAATATTTCTAAAATAATAAAAAATCGATACAGGATATGTCATACAGATATATAATAAAAATTCAAAAAATTTTATAATTTAATTTTCATGCATATTCTGTATCGATAGAAATAAAAATTTCTGTATTATTAGCAAAATCAATCTTGAAACATTCAACCTGATATATTGCATTTTATTTGCAATTATTTCCTTCCATAGTACTCCAAAATTGTCTCACTTTAGAGAATCGCCTGCGTCCTTGCATGCACAACAAAAGAAAGAAAAAAGAAAATAATAATGGCAAAAAAATGCAAGAAAATCATTTCAATGAAAAATGAAATCGACCATTAATGGGTGTATCAGTTTCTTGCAGTTGCTTGTCATCTTATACACAAACCTTTGTGATTTCGAACTCGTTCTCGTTGTGTTGGATGGAAGCCAGAATTGCGTGGAGGCGGCAGTGATTCTTCCCCCCATGAATGCGACGTTCCAAGGGGTAGTGGTAATATTGAAGCAGGAGGAGGTGGAGGAGGTGATCTATGATCAAAAGGTGGAAGTATGTGTGGAGACATTGGTGGTGGGGAACCAGCATTATCATACCTATTGGAAGTAGGAGGATGTAAAGGCATAGGTGGAGGTGAAGATAAACGACCACCCAATGGTGGTGGTCGTTGGCTAACTTCGTATGGTGGTACACCGGATGCATTTGGTAATGGAGGTGGTAAATATGGTGGAAACAGTGAATGTAAATAAGAAGGTGGTGGCGGTGGCGGAACACCCGAAGAACCAGAAAACATTATAGGAGAACTGGATGATTCTGCTCCTAGATATAATGGAGGTGACGTTGTCATCTCTCCATTTGCTTCCAGTCCTGTTTAAAAATCATGTTAAAAAAGACAATTTTCTACATTAGAATATTCTACAATATCAGTTTAAAAGATTCACTGATGATAAATGGACCTATAATATATTATACATATATTATATACATATATTATATATATGTATATGTATATGTATATTTTTCATTATAATTCAGTGCAAGATTTAAATACAGCATATCTCAGTCAAGTCTGTTATAAAGCGATATTTCGATAACATAATTACTGAGTTACTAATATTTATATATTATATAATTTAACTTTATATATTCGATAACTAACAAAAACAATTTCTATGTCTATAATTTCTACTAATACTAAATAAAAAATATACAACAATTTAATAACAACTATAAAACATACATTTTAGAATACTTTCATTTTATTTATCAAGATAAAGTTGAAAAATTACTATCTAAAGTAATTATGAAATGAAGTTTGAATAATAAATATATATCAAAAGAAATATTTTTTCTTTATACTTACGATGCAATTTTACTTCAGGATCTACATCATTTATATTCTTTTCTATTAAAGTAAGACGATTACGTAATTGTCCTGCTTCAACTTTAGATTCTTCTAAACGACGTTCAACTTGACGGGCTACAACCTTACATACACATATATATATATATATATAAGATTTTATATAAAATATTAAAAGATTTAATAATTTAATACACAATTTAATAACACAATTAAAAATAATTAAAATATTCATACCCATTGTTCATGTGCCTTTGTTTCAAGCAAAGAAATTTGATTTTTATATTCTCTTTCTTGATCTAATATTTCACGTTTCAATACTTCTACTTGTTGTCTAAATGCAATTCAAAAATTTAATGTTACAATAAGTATAAAATAATTTTTTGAAAATATTTTAAATAATGAAAACTTACTTATAATTTTGTATTTCATTTTGCATTGTTTGTATTCGTTCTACAGTGGATACAACTTCACCCTGTTGTTGCAACCAAATAGCTTCTTCTCTATAATAATATATTATATATTTTATTAATTAATAAAAAATATTTTTGTTTAGTTAATAAAAAAAATATTTTTTATTAATTATTTAGATAAATTTTTAATACTTTTGGCGTTGTGCCTCTTTTTCTTCGAAAAAATTTGTCAATACTTCTAGTCGTGTTTCTGCATCTTTCTTTTCTTTTTCTGCTATTTTGCATTGTTCAGTCAAAGTTGCCATTTCTTCTTTAACGACCTTTACATGTTCTATAATTTAAAAGATTATATTTGAATATATTTTTAATCATCTAATTATAAATAATAGTTTGAAATATACCTTCTAATAAATTATGAACTCCTTCAATCTCAGCTAATCGTATTTTTAATTCATTTCTTTCTTCAAACAATGTTTTTGCCTCTGCTTTAATATGTGATACATCATATAACTTGTCTAAATCCAAGTTATTAGAATTCAATCGATTAATAACATCTACGAGATCTTTTATTTCTACTTCTTTACCTTTCAATTCTTTTTCTAAAGTTGCTTTTTCAATAGAAATCTTAAAGAGATAAATAATGTTATAATATATATAAAACATAATATTATATAATAATTTTAAATATATTTAATATTTACTTCTTTGAGTCGCATTTCTAATTGTTGCACCTTATCGATCAACGTTTGTTCGGCAATGTTTTTACTGTTGATTTCCAATTTTAAATTTTCTGTAACTCTAGTAAATTCAACTTCAAATTCTTCATATTTTTTTTTAATAAATGCAAGCTCTGTTGATAAAGATTCGTTCTGTAAAATATTCAGTATTAAAAATTACACATATACAATATAATAAAATATGTACAATATATATGAAATATAAATATATATTTCCAATATATTAAAATAATATTTTTAATAAATATACAAACATTACAAAATATCTATAATTACGAACCTCAAGTTTATCGAATTCAAGCTGCGATAAACATGTAGAATATAACATGCAATTAAATATATACATCTCTTTATAAAAAATTATTCACAATTTAAATATGCATGCTTACCTCTTGAGTTTTAAGATTTAAAGCATTCGTTAAAGATTCGTTTGCAGCTTGTTGAGCATTCAATCTGGTTTGTAAGTCTTCTACTGATTGAGCTAAAGGATTAACTTCATTATTCGATGAAAGAACTTCTCGCAACATTTTTTCTAATTCTAATCCAGCTTCAGTAGCACTTTCTAGATCTTTCTCTAACATAGCTACTTGATCTTCTAATTCTGCTTTTGCATTCTATTAAAAAATATTATATTATCATTATTATACATTTATTATTGACAAATATTTAAATTTAATAACGTTACAAAATATTAGATATTAAATAAATATAAAATATTACCTGTGAAGCTTTTAAATCAGCTCTTAAAGAAATTACCATTTCATCAGATCCAAATGATTCATCTTCCATACGGCTTAACTACAATATATTTTCTTATAATATAAATTCATAAAAAAAAAAAAAATAATTATATTATAAATATATATATATTAAATGTAATATATTATAAAATATATTATAAAATAATATTATATTACATTACCTTTTCTTTTGTTGATTTTAGATTTTCATTCACCATTGTACATTCTGCTTCTGAAATAAGTAAATCTTTTTCAAGTTTGTTGATTCTAGCTATCAGTCGTTTATCACTCCTCATATTCTATAAACATATAAAATTAATAAAATTATATATGCAATTACTCATATATATTTTTGTTCTTAATTTCAAATAACTTTTGATTAATATTATTGTTAATATCAATCATTAAATTATAATTATTATTAAATTATTTTATATTTAATATAAAATATATTATAACAGAAATATTTTTATTGTATTTAATTAATACCTCAATGCAATAGTACCCTAAGGAAAATATAAGTGTTGCAATAGCAGTGACACTTAAATACATTAGTGTTAACCAATGATTGCTTTCAATCTGTATTCCACTTATTATAGCATTTTCATCATTTTGAGAAATTTGTTCCTGTAATAATTAACTAAATAATAAGTAAAACATGAAAAATATATAGTTTAGAATTGAAATATTTTATATATATATATAATTCATACTTACATGATGTGAATAATATTTTTGAACATCTTCTGAAGAACATTCAACATTATCAGCTATACAAACATTAGGAGGTGTAACTAAAAAATATAATGCAAATTAATAAAAATTATTTGTAAGTACAATATAATAATCTAAATAAAATTATTTTTTTATTATAATACAATAAATAATTTCTGTGTTGTACCTTCTATTTCATGAAAAATATTTTCAGATGTTTCTTTAGTTACAGATAAAATATCCTCATTTCTTAAATCATATTTATCTGAACTTGTTTCTTTTATTAGCATAGTATCTTCAATATCAACAATTTTTTTTGAATTAGATTCAATTTTTGATATTGCTTCTTTATGTTCAATATTTTCTGTTTCAATATTCTCAGCAGATGATATTACTGACATTTTATCTTTTATATTTTGAGTGAGAAATAATAATGATAAATCTTGATCATTATCATATTTATTTAAATTTTCAATACTTGTATGTACTTCTTCTTCCTTTTTTATATTATCTTGATCTGTATTTGATTGAATGACATTTTCAAAATATTGCATATTTTTTGTATTAATTGTGATATCTTCTAATAATGTATTATTATTTATTTCAATTCCATCAGAATTTTCAATATTTGATATATTTGATTTAATTTCATTAGTTGTAATTACAAGATTTTCTGAAGACTGAATATCTTTTGTCTCAATTTCAGGAGAACTTTCTACATTTTGTTCATCTGATTTAATATCACTGATTGTATTTATTGTAACATTTTGTAAAAACTGGATATCTTTAATTTCAAATTCATTAGATTTTTCTATACTTTGTATGTTTGATGTAATATCATTAGATGTTGCTATAATACTTTCTGGAGACTGAAGATCTTTTATTTCAATTTTATAAGAATTTTCCATATTTTGTATATCTACCTTAATGTCACTAGTTGCAATTGTATCATCTTGTGAAGCTTGAATATTTTTTATTTCTGCATTCTGTACTTCTAATTTAGTTTCATTTATAATATTTTCTAAGGCTTGATTATCTTTTACATCAATTTCATTAGAATTTTTTGCATTTTGTAAATCTGTTTTTATATGACTGGCTGATGATAAAATATCTGGTTCTTTAATTTGATCAGTATTTTCTATATTTTGTATATGTAGTTTGGTATCAATATTTTCAATTACTTCATTGGAATTGATATTATCTTTTTTAATTAATTCAACTATTTCTTCACCTTTAATATTTAATGTTTCTTTAGAAATATCAGATATAGATATTTGTAAATCATTAGTATCATCATTTTTTTTTAATGATTGATCTTTTTCATCAGTAAATGACTCATTTTCATTCTCTGTTGCATATTCTATTTTATCAGAAATTGCACTTATATTTAATGGTGAACTGTGTATTAGATCTGGTAAATCTAATATTTTTTCTGAACTTATCACAAAATCTTTAATATCAACTTCAACAATTTTTTCCTTACTTTCTAATTTATCTTTTGTGCTCATTAATGTTTCATCAATAGTATTTTGTTTATTTGGCACTACTGTTGCTTGTATGATATCTTTTATAAGAGTTGGTTCTATAGAAGGTTCATTATGATTTAAGTGAACTGTAGTTCCATCAATAATCTGATAAGATGGAGTTACACCAATTTCATTCTGTGGCAGTTCTTTTGTGGATTTCAAATCTAAATTGTCAATTTGTTTAATATCCTTTTTATCAAATACTGATTTATTTTTTCTTTGTTTAGGCTGAAGTTTATTATTAGATGAAACATTATTATTAAATAATGGATCAATAGACACTTCATATTGTAAATCCTTATGTAAAACTTTATATTCTTTTATAAATGACTTTGATACATATCCATGTTTGCCATTTATCTAAAATGAATAAAATTCCTAATAATATTTATATAAATATTTAATTTTCATAATAAAAATAAAATAAAAAATCATAAAATAAAGAAAAAAATATAATATAATCAATATTTTTATATTATTTTTATCATATAATTTGATCATTTTAGATTATACTTCAATCATAAAAATTCGAATTTTTATTTTTGTTATATAACTTCAAATAATTATATATATAATAAAGATTGAAAAAAATTAATAATAAGTGAAATTAAAAAAATTGAAATTAATAAAATTTACCTCTACACCCCACAAATCTTTTCTCTTGCCTGCTTCTTTACTATAAACTGTGACTTTTTCATTAACATTAAACGATAATAATCCCAATTCATTTGGAATATATTTAATTGTTGTTCTAGCTAATGAAATAGGTTCTACGGAAAATATATCATTAAATAATTCATGTATTAAAAAAACAGATTTTAAAATAGATACATATTGAGAATAAAGTATGGCTTCAATTACCGGAACAGTTAGGATCATAGCATAGTCGTTTGTCTGATAAAACTGAGGAACATTGTGGTATTGCACTAAATATTATTGCAATAACTAAAAATAATATTTTAATAAACAAATTCATTTTCGTCATAATTTTACTATTGCAGTTCCACATCACTACTAACATATAATGAGACAGCCTTGGACGCACATTTTATCCGTGAAGTAATCTATAATAAGATGGTTCGATGAAAGGAATATTTAATATTGCTCTGAAATGAACATTAACTATACTTCACAGTTTGATTGGCAATCGAATTTAAATAAAATTTTAAAAAATCAATGATTAATCGTTAAAATCTTCAATTTTATACATTTTCACACATATTATTATATTCCAGAACTTTATATATATATATATATATATATAATTTAGGTTATAGAAAATGTAATTAACACGCATATGTAAATAAGTGGGTACGTATGCATTAAGAATAAAGAGTGCCAACTGATATAAAATCATACAAATTTTCAACAAACCTATTGTTACGCCCTCTCAGAATGCACATGCGCAATATAAAAAGTCGAATATAATCTCATAGTCTATTTTATACAAATATAATAGACATATCAGCATAGATAAGTTAAAAAATAGATGTAACAATCAATGAATTTTTTTGATCTCATGAATTAAGCAAAATAATTGGAAAAGAACAGAAATAAAAATTATAGATTTCAGTGTCATCTGATGATTTGTTAGTATTTAATATAGGTGAAATAAACATAAATAAAGAAAATAAATAATGGGAAAAGAACAAAATATACTAAAAATTATTTATCAGCACCATCTTTTGAGTGCTAAAGAAAGAATAGATATTAATAATCTCTTAAGTTCTTTTGAAGTTTCTGGCATTAAAAAATGTCGCTGATTCTTAATTCTATTCTATATCATTCTATTTTTTAAGTTTTTGATACAGAGATGGCGTAAACAGTCAATTTTTATTATATTCTACTATAATTTATTCTTAATTTATCTTTATTTCATTTAAGATTTTTATTTATTGACTTATTATTATTTGACTTATAAATAAATCACAAATAAATGAATAAATAAACAAATAAATAAATTAAGGTATATATAAATTAACAAAACAAAGAATTCTACAAGAAAATCTATAAATAAATAAATAAATAAATTGGTAAATAATCGATAAATATCGATTAATCGATAAATAAATCAATAAATAAATGAATTAATAAAAGAATGTATAAACAGTCAAATAAATAATTAATAAATTAATAATTAATAAAAATTAATATTGTAAAAATAAATTAATCTATTTTCAATATATTTTTAATTAGAGTATTTTTAATTTTTAATTAAAATATATTATACAATACTTTTTCGATTATGCGATTTCGATTATAGAATTGTCTTTCAATGTCAGCCAATCAGAAGACCTCTATTTGAATTATGTGCGCGTGGATCAGTCTCCTATGGAAAATCATCGTAACAGGATTCATATTCTTAACCGATTTCGGCGATTCGATTACGCAGTAAGTAATTTATATTTTGTTATCGAATTTGTAAATTATTATTATTTTCGATTATTTAATAATAAATTTGTTATTGTAATTAATATTTTTATGTTTTTTTTGTGTATTTTGACTTTATTAAGATTATCGATATTTCGTGCTTCGTTGAAATTTGAATTCACTTATTGCTTCATGCTTAATATGACTTTTTTTATATCTTTATTTTACGATTTTCATTTAAATAAATTGTTATTCGATTATCGGCAACAAGTCGGGATAATCATCATTTCGATGAAAAAATGATTTATATCATTGTGCTATCAATATTCATGATAATTAAAAATTCTATTCTTTTTTGAGGTGATTTATTTGCTGCGTAGTACACATATATTTCTTTTCATAGTTATATATTTATCATTATTATTATTAATCAATACGTATTAATTATTATTATAATTAATATATTTATTATTATACGTATTTATTATTATAATTAATAATCTTTCAAAAGAATTATTCGTTTTTTTTTTTATTCATTTATTTCATAATTATAATTTCAACTAATTCATATCATCTAAAATAAAATTTGAGCTTAATTATTGAATTATATATTTTATTTTAATGTGATCGATTAATTTTATATATCTTATATATTTATTTGAAAATTTTTATATTCTTTTATACAGATTATTATTCAGTTATTACTGATTCAATTTCAAATTCCAATATGGATGCCAACGTACTTTTTTAAACGGACATTTGATGTTTCGCTTGTGTACTGTATGTATTTATTTTATTTTTATTCGCTCGTTTTTATTTTATTATTCCAAAACATTTGTACTTTTGTAATGAACATTTATCACAAATATTAATATTTCTATTTAAATAATTTGAAAATATTTATTTTATCTTCCTTATTATTAATCATAAAAAATTTACAACAATTCGTAGCTTTAAAAAAATAATAATATTTTCTGAAGCAAATGTTCAATAGGAAAAAAGAAGAAAAATATGGAAAAATTATTTTGCTTTTTTTATTATTAATCTTCTCACTATTAATTCAGTTCCAGAAAATTTTGATGATCGCGCGCAATGCGGTCTGTAAATTCAGTGTTTGCTTCGTAACAGTTTTTTTAATATTTTAGAGCACAGCTCTTAATTAAATTTATTTATTATACTCGCGAAATTAAAGTCAGTGTTTGTTCACCGATTAAATTAAAGATATTAGTTTATTTTATTTTTTTTTTTTTTCTTTATTCATTTTCGGAATAGGATAAAGTCAGTGCTTCTTCAAGAGAGTAAAGCGATCATCCACCACGCGAAGAGGTAATTATTTTTATTTATCTCCTATTTCAACTTTTTTAAATAAGTTATATTTAAATTATAATGTTCCATATTTTGTTACAGTTTTCCTTGATGATGATTTTTTGATGGTGATATCTTATGACCCTTGTAGATTCTTCGCATCTATTGGTGAGTCGCATGTATTTATATTCCTCTGGTCATTCAATCATGTCGTAGGATGAAAGATCCGAATCGACACGGATGACTGGTTGTATACGT